GGTTAGGTTTCCAGAGCATTGGAGCTCTGAAACGCCCATCCACTACTTCCAAATTTTTTTGCATTTCATCCAGATCTCGAGCTTGATCATGTTTTAGCCCGTCTGGTTGTACTTTGATTCCAATCTCCTCTAGGGAGTTGAATCTTTTAAATTCTTCCAACAATTCTCTGTCTTGATGTTTGATCTCATCAACAGAGTAGTGGGTCACAACATTCACATGACCAGTTGAATTATTAATACAACCGGCCACTGTCCACCCCAATGGGGTTTTGTAGGCGAGGACTTGACCATTTGACCTGACTGAGTCAGGCATAGCCATCATCAAAATTTCTTGGTCCCCGCCCACTATCAATTGAGCTTTTCCGGTTATGCTTTCCGCCAATTTGACGTCGGCAAACTCGGGGTTCTTGGTCAACCACCCTTTCCAATCAAAAGTCACTTCAGGGGTGACAAGATATTTTACAGAGGCCGCATTTTTGGCTCTGAACCAGTATTTTTCGCCTGCTCCTCTGAATGAGAAGTTTACATTTTTCATCAGGCGTTCTTCTACTCCCAAAGCAGTTTGCAAATGCATTTTCCCCCCTGAGAGAGCTTGTATCCCCAATTCATTGGCTAGTTTATCTTCGATAGTAGTTCTTCCGCACCCAGTATCCAGAAGAGCATTCACTCTCTTGATCCCCTTTGGACCTTTGACATCCAGGGCAATCAGTCGAAGTGTTTGTCGAGTTTCAAATGGAGAAGTTGCCTCAAGAGTCGCCATGTATGGCACCTCTATCATAGACAAAACTGGTGCTACGGGTGTCTTACTGGCTTCGGCCTTAGACCACAACTTTGCTCCATGTAGTAAGGGATGATGAAAGAAGGTACAACCTTCAAAGGTGCATTGCTGCCTCCTTTTGCAGTTTCCTTTCCTGTGTCTTCCCAAACATCCAAAACAAACAAAGAAATCTTTAGCCTTAACAGCTCGATCATCCACTTCCAGTTTCGAAAATACTCCACATTTACTCAAATAGTGCTTCTGTTGGCACATGGGGCATTCTGGCCCTTCTGATACTTTATTGGGTGTTTTAGGAGTTTCCTCCACAGAGAACTTAGCCTCTTTAGAATACTTCTTTCTCGATTCAGTTTTTACCTCGGACTTTCGAGCTGGAGTTTTGTCTCGAGGTTTAATTCCAGACATCCGCAGTTTGTCAGCGGTTCTAGTTGCAAAATTATGCAACATCTGGATTTTTTCTTTACTCATCATACCAGGGTCAAGATCCATGATCTTGTCGACCCATGCCAATCGACTTGAGTCGGGCATTTTTGAGACCAATAAATCGATCATCATTCCAAATCCCTCGTTGGGGTTGGAGAGCGAATATTGTCTTATTACAGAACCAATTAAGGAACTGTAATTGTCCCAATCCTTCAGATTATTTAATTTCAGAGGCTTCAAGGAATTTACCTTGGCCGTCAGTTCCGCATTTCAGACCACAGAACAATCGTATCTGCGGTCTAGAATTTTCAGTGCCGTTTCAACAGAATTTTCACTGTTTTCCACATGGCTGAGTGCCTCTAGGGCCTCGCCTTCACACATTGCCTTTAAAGTAGACAATTTTTGAGTCTCTGAGTACCGTGGGTGTTCTCAGACATTGTGTATAAAGTAGTCCTTCCACTCACTGTATTCAATTGTTTTACCAGAGAACTTCTTTCTGTTTAGGATAGGATTGGGCCATGCCGTCTCCTCCTTTTTATCCACACATTTTTCTACAGCCTTAGCTGTTTTCCTTGCCGAGACAGCCAACTTTGTGACTTGTCTGGTCAAGATTTTCATTTCATTAGGGTTGCCAGCCCTGTTTCTTTCTTGTCCAGATTCATAGGAATATTCTGAATCACTTTTGGACATTTCTGAGTCAGAGAAGATCTCGTCTTCCTTCTCTTCAGGATCTCAAGGTTCACCATGCCTTGGTCCATTGGGTTCAGTAGGATTGCCAGTCCACTGCCCATTAGTTTGTGCTCGGGTCCTGCTATCAGCAAGGTACCTCAGCATCAAACCATTTTCAGATTCCTCGCCATCTTGTGGTTGAGGTCTGTTCATCACATTTTCCATTTTTCTCACCACAGGCTTCTCAAGAGCCGCCTGGGCTTCATCAATCAAATCTTTGCCTTGCTCCGCAAGCAGAGCGAGGTCTTCAAATTGCAGGTCACCATCAGTGACAGCTTCCTCATAATATTCATCTGCGAACACGCAGCTCGCTTCAAGAACCATCCACTCAAGTTGTTGTCTGAGTACTCCCTCATTTGGTTTTGTCGAGAACTCCACAAACTTGGCATCAAGAACACAAAATTTTACGAACATCATTTGATGCAGATTTGCAATACTTTTGACAGGATTTAACAATTGCGCCGGTTTCTCAAGGTTCGCGTCAAAAACATTTTGCAGAGGAGAAGAGCGCGGAACATTTGCAGTACTCAGAACAATTTTGCCCGAAATATTCGCCAAAACATCACATGCAACATCAGCCTCATCTTCCCTACATTTGCGAACATTTGACCTACCTTCCTTGACACTCTCAGCGCGGTTCACCTGCGGTACAGAAGTCTGAGCAGCAGCCTTTACCAGGTCTGTCAAAAATGCTTCAAGACTCTGCTTCCTGAGCAACAGACTCTTTTGAGTCGCTCCCCATTCCCCTATTAATTCTTGATCACGGTGGCCTGCTCTAATAGGATCTTTTAATTCTGTCAGCCTAAATTTACCGTGACCAAGCCAAATTCCCACCCTGTCTAACAATTTCTGCCCTCGCCTGGGATCATTGCTCAACTCACCAAGAAACTGCTCGATGGAGAGCAGCAGTTCTGTAGACTTTGTGATGATTCCTTCTAGACTGTAGTGGGAGCGTCGTCCTTCTTCTGCTGAAAGGTTTCTTTGTTGACGGGTTTTTCTCCGGCTGCCTTCACTGCTCCTTCCATGTTCAGAAGTAGCGCTGCGGTAGTCCTGTCCGGACGACAGAGACATGTTGTTGGTAGGGTTTTCACTTCACAAACAATTGACTTTTCAGCTACTGTTTGACGATTCCAGATAGCTGGCCTGTTCCGACACACAGGACTTTTCAGTTTTGCAAACTGACCTGGAGATCTCTCAACAGGATTTTCACAAACTGTTTACTGTTCAAACACCAGTTACCGACCAACCAAAACAGATCCGGTCCGAAGGACCATGAAAGAGTTCGACTCTTGGATCTTTGCGCAGTTTTGGATTACTTTTACAGTGGAACTTTTCAAACTTTTGTTGGGGGTTGATTCCGCTTTTGTGCGGACCCCTGAACACTGGCTGTTGACGAGTCGGCCTCCCAGTTGACAATAGGAGGAAGTCGCAGGTAAGAAGTAGACGGATATGCGGCTCACTGCACAGGATCCCCAGATGTAGGTGTTACAGATGAGTTGCAGGAATTAACCCAGAAGCCTATCTGCCACAACAACTACTAATTTGAGACGATTCTTTGACATCACACTTGAGTCGAGCTACCCAGGCGAGGTAGTAAATATACCCAAAAAATATTTAAGACCAAATTTTGGAGATCCTTACTCCACCAAACTCAAATGAAGAATGACACAAACTTTCCAAAAATGGTTCTCAGCTCCTAACTTTGTCCTTCATGCAACAATCGACAGAAACTGATTCAAAGGAAAAAAAGGACACTCTCAAGGACTGGGAACTGCCGCCGCATTCCATTCCCAGGCTACCAGAAATAAATCCCAATTTGTTACGCAGATTTGGGATGCGCGCTTATAATCCCATGGCTCAGAATTGTGCGCCATTTGAGATTTGCATGGACAAAAATAGAGGGCAACGCAAGTAGTAAACCCATCCGATGTATCCTCTATTTACATTGATTTCACAATAAAAGCCATGGATATCAGATCAAACAAAATAAAATATAGTACATCAACTAACCTTTGTTAATATTCGACAAATAACTGATGTACGAACAAGTAACAGCGAAATAAATTCATACTGTGGCAGCAACTTAAAATAAACATAAAATCAAGCTTGCCTAGTATTTCGCGCATCCTTTTAACAATTTCCAATAAGTATTTTCATATACAAACATTGTGAAATTGGGCAATCCATTCTTCGGGTCAGGAGAGATATCACTGGTAACCCCTTTGTAATTCGAATATCTAGGGCCAGAACTAGCGACGATTATCAAGTACCTTCCATTCAGGGCACTCTACCAGGCATTTTGTAATACCCGCCTCTTTGCAGAGGAGTCTGACCTATCGTCTGGCCTCGCTAGATTGTCAGAAGCAGGGGCTGCATTGTAAACAACACAGGACTTTCTTCCAACATTAATTTACTGGGGCACAAAGAGAGGGATCCTCCCAACCCTAGCCACAATTTCTTACAAATAATTGGGTGGAAAATTTGCTTTGAGCCATAAAAATGACTGGGGGCTCAATTCCTAGACAGAACATGGATTAATGCATGCATCAGAATTATACTTGACTGCATTGAAAACACAAGCATTAACAAATTTATGATGAACAGAATCCTGTTCCTAAGAAAAAATTATCTTGGCATTTTTTATGTTCTCAAACCTCATTTTTTAAATGCATACAATTAATTCATGATCAAAGTTAATCTAGACACAAGAATGGTATACATTTTTGCAAGAACCTTATTTTAAAACAAATAAAAAGAATAAGTGAAAAAACTGTCTGAGTTGTCACACTGTGTGACTTGTTGCTGTGTGAGTTGTCACTGTGCAAGTTGTCATGTAATCAATAACCATGTGTTGGGCCCGTGTTTGAAAAAAGGTGAAGTAAAATTGAAACACTATATGCAGCCTTTAGGAGGCTGGATCCTCCTTAATGGAGTCCCTGAAAACCTTGGTTTACTCAGGCACACAAGGAATAAAATTCTGCACGCAGGAGACACAATTCCTAACAAGATTCTAACACACACACATACACACACACAACAGTCAAACAGTAAGCAAGTCACACACAATCCCACACTAGGCAGATCCCTCAGGAGATCCTTGCAGTAGCAGGCAAAGCTGGCAAGTGTCCATTTTGGGCCTTGCTGGCTTTGCCAAAGAGTTGGCGGGAAACGGCAGAAGATTAGCAGACACTGGTCTCAATCCCAATTTGCCACTCTCATGGTCAACTGGGTGCACAGTGAGGACTTCTGCTGCGTATGTCTTCTGCTTGCCAAGTAGTTTTCCTCTATCCTGCAAAGACACTACAGTCAAGGCTGGATAGTAGCCTGGCAAAACCCCACACCATGTACTTGGCTTGCCTAAAGCTGGGTGAACTTCCTATTGATATCCAAAGCATTCCTGCTTGGAAACACTCACCCATCACTTGAGTTTTTTTTTTTGCCTCCTCAATTTCAACCTCTTGTTCATAGGTGTAGTACATCTCCTATAGCCACACCGTGACTGGATTCTTTTCAAATGAGGAAACTCTTCAAAAAATTTGGAGGATATAGACCATTTTAGGGGGACATTTCAAGACTGGACAATTTGAGACAGGGTTAATTCAAGACTGAGCAAATATGAGATGGGGTTGATTTGAGACAAGACCTATCCGAGACAGAGAACTTCAAGACAAGGCCGATTTGAGGACAATGCTTCCTTATTCTACTCAATAAAAGAACTACAGAGAGAAAAAAATTATGGTGATAGTCAAAGAAATTTTATCAGAGCTGCATACAAAAAGCCAGAAAAAAAGGAAAGACCACCTTTGTAAAGAGAGGAACCTGCTATGGCTGGCTCTCAGATTTGAGTTTGCCTTAATGAGGAAATCACCTGACAGTGATTCTGAACAAGGGAAAGAAACATCCTGGAAGCACTCCTGTATCAAGAACAGCTTGGGCATCAACATTGATTCATAGACTGATTGTTTTCCCTGACCTTTCTCCACATTCAATATCTTTTCAGCAATCATCCTTCAACTATAACCTTCACTGCAATTTCAAAAAAAAAACCAAATGATGATCTATGAAGTCAAGAACAATGGCTGTGAGTCATTAGCTTTATTCATCCATTTTAAATTGGAGCAGAAAATTGTGTAACTGCTTATCCTCAATTTAAAGACAAAAGCAAAAAGACTGAAACATTTTTAATATTTTCTTTTGGTAAAAATCAATGCATGGTCAAAAGGCCATTTTTTCAAAAGGATATCAGCAAAAAGAAAACATACAAACAGAACATATCAAAAGCCTCTTTTTTTCAAACAATGACCTGCAGTAAGATGCGGAAACTCCGAATATACACATTACTCCTCTTGAAGGAATACTTCAAATCCTTGCAGAAACATTTTATTCAGAGGAAGTACAGAAAAAAAAGTGTACAAATACAGCTTCCTCACCATCGATGATGGGGTTTTCAGTGGAACACTACATGAATAAATAAAATGAAATGAAAACCTTGTCACAAAATAGAAAAAGCAGCACGGGAAAAAAGGGGAATAAATTAGTAGATTCTGTGCAAGCTCAGCAGTCGCATATGCTATGTATAGAATCATCGCACCAGAGACGAGGGGACGGAAAACAAAAGCTATCCTTTTTCCCTGGAATTCTCCATCAACACAGTAATGATGGATTTTTTCCCACTGTCAGGTCGCGCACCGACAGCTGTTGAACTACAAAGGTTCGCAGCCTATATAAACTGTATATATATATATATATATATATATATATATATATGGATGTAGGAGGTGTCCCAGCACCAGGTTCTGGATAGATGCAGGGAAATAAAGGAGGAAACAGGCAAATCACACAATGCGGGCGTAACGTGAACAACAATGGAATAGTGAGATCAAGTATTACGCCCAGGTTTCTGCAGAGTCACGTTGCACTCGGTCGAATAAATCCGGTGACAGTCAAGTGCTTGTAATGCATTGTGGTGTGCTGGTGTGGTGTGCATAGTATACAGTACCAGGCCAACAGAAGCGATGAATCATTGCATTGTTGAACGAGAATAAAGTGCAACAACAGCACAGCAACCCAAAAAAAAAGGAAGAAAGAAGAAGGCTGCTTCTGCAAAGTAACGCCTTAAACGCGGGGTCTCGGGGGGGTGCCCCTCGTCTCTGGCCGGTTCTCGTGGCCTGTGTTGACAACTGCTGGAACCCATACCACTGAACGTGTGTTTAATACAGTATTTAATTGAAACCCAGCTGTGGAAACCCCCCGGGGAGGAGAACAACTAGGACCACGCGAGAGAGAGACCCACTTGAAATATGAGGGTTTCTTCATAAGTTTTGAGACTTCTTTTTTTTTTGAAAACAGTCAAACCTCTCTTGAGTTTAATTTCAAAGGACCAGCAAAAAATTTGACATATATATAGGGAGGTTTTGATTTCAGGAGGCTTCAATAAGTGAGGTAAACAAATATTTTTGTTGTGGGATATGCATCAGAAGAATTGCAGGATATTTTATATTGTGATAATCTGCATCTTAAATTGCTTCTTACCTGTGTTGCTAGGATGCTGAACATGGAGTCAGGGGTTTATGTTCTCAATTAGTCTTACACTTCCTTTCAAAAGGCATCAAGTTTCTTTTTTATTATCTTTCCTTTGTCCAGAAAATGGTAGCCAAAAGCCCTCAGAAAATTTAACTTACCATATTTCCGGCCTTTGAGTGTATAGGAAGGTTTTCAATTGATATTTTCTCAGGGAAATCTTGACTGAGATTTACAAAAAAATTGACGTCAAGGTATTCAAGTTGTAAAGGTTCAGCTGTAGATCCAAAGGAGTTTCAACAGTTCCGAAATTACTTTTCTTTTTTACTTCCTTAGCCCCATCATTTGTCAATTCCTTAGTACTGTTCAACATATATACTCTGTGCATTTTTCATGCAATGAATCCAATTTTTAAAACAGTGCCAAAAATCAAGTTCTCTTAGTTGATTTTACAGGCATCATGTGACTTATTATTCTGCCTCTTGCCACCAACAGTGAAGAAGAACGTGCAAGGTATTGATTTTCAGAACAGGAGGATAGCCTCATTCCTACCACCAAAGAGCAGCTTAATCAACCAACAAGAACTCGAATTTCAGCACTGTTTTGAGCATAGGATTTCACCTCATGAAAATTGCACAGAGTACATATTAAACACCACGAATGAAGTGTTGCCAATAAAAAAATTTCCGTGGAATTGTTGAATCTCTGTTGGATCCATTTGGAAAAAAAAAAAAAAAGAAAATGTCAAGACTTGTGAACCAACCCTGGTTTTTGGCGAAACGCCCTCCCGCCGGGCTACTTTATTGGATAAATGCGGAGTCTCACACGGCGACGACGCTTGAGGTTTCACACACACTGTCTTCATTGTGAACAGCACTCGTGTATACTGTACGTGTGGGGGTTGGCGTTTGCTGTACTTTATTCTATTATACCATGGCATATAGAGCAAGTTTATAAAACGAATATATATATGTATATATAATATATGGCGATGGTGTGACGCGTGGCAGACGTCAGCTTCGGACGCAGGGAGGCATGGAACAGAAATATCGCGCGAGTCGGTGGATTATATACAGCGTAATAATCGGAGCACTTCACTTTCCCAACCGCCTCCCGCTAATCATTACGCGGCGAGAGTTGGAAATAATGAACCTTTTTCGGCTGTTTGCTCGCGTGGCAAATCAGTTCCAGTTGAGACCCGTCAACTCTCTCGTCGCCTATCGGGACAAGGAACGAAGTGCATATTAATGGAATATATAGAGCAGTGCGGATGCAGAACAGAGTTGCCGGTACTGTGCTGTACTTCCATCTCAGTATGCTGGCTTCTTTCTTGACAAACTCGTTTTTTTTTTTTCAGCCGTATGGTAGGGATTTTTTTTTTCATTTTCGTGACTTGAATACACTGGGACCTAACAGAGAGACGGATGACTCAAAATAAGCAAGATTTGACTTGGAAACACTTGGAATACGAAAAATTTTCTCGGTGGATCCAAACGATGTCTATCAGGATATGACAATATTCCCAAAATTTATAGAAGATTGAAGCATTTCTTCTTTCTTTCTTTAGGCATCTCTTGGGCGAATTGAGCGATTTACATGTGCAGAAAAATGAAATCTAAACTTCATTTTAAAATTAATTCAGCAATTTTTATTCCAAAGGTAGGTTGATTTTGTTCTTATTTTTTCAGATTTTTTTTTCATCATGTGTGCACAGTATATAGCTAAACTTGATGTTCTTTTTTGCTTCTTAAAGCTCTTTCTGGTGTCAGAAGATTAGATCATAAATATTTGGTTTTTGCTTCTGTACACTTATTTTCTGCATCTTGAAGTTGAGAGAGGCATTTGCTTTTCGGGGACTGGTATTCCTAATTTTAAATGAACATGAGGAGAACCAACGAAGCGTGTCTCCAATGAATTCTTGGGGAAAATGTGACAGACGAGCAGACATTCCAATATGATCCAAGCACCAATTATATCCGCACGTAAAGGTCCCAGTGTGCATCATATTTACGTATCATACTTTATCCTACTTTTTTGAATATCACTGTTCTCATGCTTACAGCAAACTTGGATTCAACTACTCAATGGCATCTTCATGCATTCAGGTCCAAGAGCTACCCAAAAAGATCTTTGTGTTTCCACTTTGGCACAAAACAAACACGGGGTTGTGGAAAGATCAGTTTAGACAATAGTGGGGAGAAATTCTATTATTTAGATTCATAAATACTAAGTACAATATCGATGGACTAGAATTATGTCAGATATTTTTATTATGGTCATCATGTGAGTTTCCAGTTTTCCGCATACACTTGCATTAAATATGCTAGTTTGGAGGGGGGGGGATTTGGGCTGCATAAAATGAATCAATGTTTGAACATTTTTTAGAAAAAAATGTTCCAGAATAAAGACTGACTCTCAGCGAGAAATTATTTCTGTATTTGTAACAAGAACCCCCTTCGTCGGTGATTGTTCTTCTTTTTTTTTCTTTTCCTTCTGCCATTTGCCTCGATATGTAAGTGTTCGAAAAAGATCCAGGATCAAAACAACCTTCTAAATACCCTCATGCATGACACTTCACGTAACCAGAGCATCAAGTAGATATTTTCAGACCCAGGATTTTTCGGATCACAACAACGTTATGCGACTATTTGAACTCAAGCACACGGCATTTGACCGAATTACGAAGTCACTGCTGGCCGCGTTTATTATTTACAAATGACTTTTGGCCAAGACTGATGAGTAAATGTATGCCATTCTCGAATGCACCGCAATGCACAACAGGAAATGAATAAAGCCGTGACATAATTTTGAGATTCAGATGAGAATTAATACAATCCTGTTTCATCCCGGGAGATGGACACCAATTAAGTTTGACGGCGATTTTCTTTGCGAGTTTCCGGATTGGTACAGTGGGCCCCCAACTTACAATGGGCCCATGTTACGTCCATTTCATCTTACGACGCTTTTCTTAAATTAAAAAACCCCCTACTTATGTTGGGGTTTCATGTTACGACTATAAAAGCCCTTTGACTTTCCCTACTCCAGTCTTCCTCTTGTTTCCAACCACACCACCAAAAAAGCCAGTAGTAATGGAGGAATTATTTCTGCCACATCATTTTTTCCTACGCCTTGCAATAACACTCCATTCAAAAATTGTAGAACTTAAGCAGACTCAAAATCAAGCTTCAAAATATGAAGGATGAACTCAAACAATGTCAACACTCAAAATGCATTTATGACATGAAATTTTGGGCACAGTATGCATTAAATTTCTTTCTTTGCGCCTTAAAAAAAACTCAATTTATAAATTTTAAAACCTATGCAGACTCAAAATCAAACCTTGAAAAATGAAGGATGAACTCACCAAAATTTCAAAACTCAAAATGCATGTATGACACAAAATTTTGTGCACAATTTCTTTCTTCACTCATCTTTAAAAAACACTCCATTTAAAAATTGTAAACCAATGCAGACTCAAAATCAAGCTTTAAAAAATGAATGATGAAAAAAGTTGTGAAAAGTGCTCAAAATTGTGAAAATCATTCTCCTCCTACCCTATTTCACTACCCTACCACCTATCACTTTTGTTTTATACAGTCTTTCAAACATGTCTTGTGTCTATTAATGCAATTCCTGACAAAAATTTGAATTATGAAGGTAATTTTAGGTAAATATTTTTTTTTTCTGGAACAAATTAATTTTTTTATAATGTAACCTTAAGGGAAATAGGGTTTCAACTTATGATGGCCCCATGTTATGACATCCATCCTGGAACGGATTGATGATGTAAGATGGGGGCCCACTGTACTTGGTCCTACTCTGCTCCAAGTTGGGAGGAACAGGGTGCTCTTGAAGAAAAACTACGACATTTGGTGCTGATCCTGTGACCATTTATCAACCGGGATTGCTGTTAACAATAAAACCCAGTGCTGGGACCCCGACATGCAGCCGCCCCAACATCTAAGGACAATTTCACTTTGGGACACTGAAAACAAAACAAAAATCTACCCCGACATCTGGACAATATTTCTAAATACTGCATTGACATTTGTCCAACACTCCTAGAAAAAAATGTGAAAATTGTATTTTCTATGTTCTGGTACTTCTTGAAGAAATTAAGGAAAGTGTATTCAAAAATTGAAAATAGATTTAATTGGAGCTTGAAATTATTTCAATTCAGAATAATAAACAAGCTGATGGTTTTCTTCCTTTTTCAACCCGTTTTCCATCATGTACAGAATTTTAGAGTCGAGAAAAAACATTTTAATCAATTTTTTTTTAAATTTATTCCTAATTTTTGACGCGTCAATTATGTAGGTCCCCATTGGCGGCAAAATGATGATCTGACATACTGATGCTCCAACATAGGCTCAAGGGCGAAGCATCAATTACATCTGCATCTTGGGGCCCCACATCACTGTATATCAACAACTCATCCAAACCCCCGGTCATGAAACTTCCTGATCCTCATGTCTGTAGTAATACTCGGACTACAGTTTATAAAAAATAAAATAAAAACTCCCCGTGAACCACGAAGAAAATACTGCACTGCTTGTCTATACTGTATATGCCTGTGATCAAGTGAATTTATTCATGAACAGTCCTAAAAAGTGTCTAATCCCCTGTACCATGTATATGCTTGCATTTCTCGGCTGTTGGGGACTCGCGCAGTGGCCAGCATACTATGATACTTTCAATTTTAACCGCAATTAATTCCTGCTCAGCTTCCTAAACCCTATAGAAACTAGTGTCTATAAGAATCGAGTTTCTCCAGCATGATTTCTCGACAGACACAAAAAATAAATATCCCCAGAGACTACTATACGTGTAGTTGACTAAATTTCGCTGGCCAATGAAAACCTTTAAAAATAAAAGGATAATGAAATTTCCAAAACACTTGCTCCATTAGCTTGGCAGCATAGAAAAAATTCACGTGCGACTAAAATCCTCAAAAAATGGCCTTGTGTGTATTTTACTGATTGTTGTTTTTACTCTTGTTTTCAACTGAGTTGATTTGCTTCCCTCTTCATTTGGAGACATTATTCAAAAAGAATTTATTTATGAACTTTTTAAGGGAAATATTTCCTTACTAGTCCCAGGATGATCAGTGTTCACAATTATCACAACATTCAAAATTTCAAAGTACTGTATTTACTCAAGTACCATGCACAGATTTTTTTTTCCAAAAATTGCACCAGAAAAATTGGGAGTGCTTGGTACTCAAGAATAACATTTTAATGCAAAAATCTCCCAAACCAGAGACTACATTGCCGGCATGTAAGTACAGTACATCCAACAACAAAATAATAAATATAATCAACCCCTGCCTAAAGGATTTTTGCGTAACAGACAGCCTCTGGAGGCAGTTTTTCCTCCCACCTGATGGACAAACTCCTCTTAACAGACTTCTGTTGGTTTAAAAATTACTGGTGAAAAGTCAAAATATTTATTTTTTAACACAGTAATTGCATTTGCATAACAGACTTCTCACGTAATAGACTAGTCTGTTGAGTGGGGGTTGACTGTAATGCAGAATTGTGTGGCACCAAGTCTCCATCTGCATGGTTTATCAGATTCAAGTAAGAACAATTTGAGGAATCACATGGAGATGCAACATGGAAAGTAAAGGAAGTGGAAGATACTGTACTTGCATCATTGAGGAAGCTGTAGACAGTAAAAAGCAAGGGGGGATATCAATTGGAGAAATTGGATCCACTGAAAACCGTGTCACACTTTTCGATTTTCTTGGAGAAAAACAACTGGGGTGTGCATCTTACACTCCAGGATGGGTTTTGAACAAGTTTCTTGCAGAAGAGTGGGGGTGTGCAGCTTACTCAAGGGTGCATTGTACTTGAGTAAGTACTA